ACAGTGTGATTAGTCCACGAGGCGGCAAGATCGTTAACTTGAAGAGCGGTACCAATGTGAGAGCAAAAAAAAGATGATATGCCTTTTGCGAGTGTATACGAAATCAGTGGGACTGGGACTGGGCCAATCCCACTGATCCTGCCCAGTCCCACTGATTCATGTCCCATCAGTGGGATTCGTGCAGTCAAATGTGACACATGCACGAGTCCCACTGATCAACGGGATTGTCGCGGGTCTACCAGTTGCGGCGCCGGCCGCGGCGGCCGGGGTTTTCCACCCCGGACCCCGACCAGGGCCTTGCCCTGGACCCACCCTGCCGGGGGCTTTGCTCGCCGCGGGGCCCGCTGCGCGGAGCATTGTCCCCCCCTTCTTCCCCTTTTCCGCCGTTCCCGGGTTCAACCATCTGGTTCCACACTGGGCGCGACGGCCGGGGTTTTCCACCCCGGACCCCGACCAGGGCTTCGCCCCGGACCCCACGCTGCCGCGGGCTGCCGCTCGCCGCGGAGGCAGCGCTTTGCTTGATCTCCGGCGTCACGCGGTGTCAAGGCCAAAGGCATCAATCCCACTGATCAGATGGTAAGCGAGCCTGATCAGTGGGACTGGGCCTGATCAGTGGGAGTGATGCGGACTTGACCAGTCCCACTCCCACTGATTTCGTTATCCCTCGCCTTTTGCACCGTACCAATACGACTGGTGGCGAACTTCCGTTTCGCCGTCGCCGGTACTGCTCGTACTGGCCCAGTCAAGACTCCGGAAGCACAGCGCCGCGTCGAACGCCTGTCAGGTCTGAACACTTGTCGGGGGCTAATTGCCCTGGCCAAATCGGCATCAGCAGGACAGACAACGATTCACGAAACGACGATGACAGCAGCAATACAGTAAGTACGGGGCAAGGCATATGCTACACGATGGGGGATATGGACTGTCGGGTATACCACACATTTTCAGTGCATCAACATCACTGCACGAGCGCGAGGTTCAGCGCGCCGAGCACGACCTCCCACGCGACGTCGAGTGCGGCCCACATCCCCGCATCACAGACCCCCAGCGCGACGAGCGTCTGCCAGAGCGCGCGCACGTGGGCGGCGCGGCGCAGGAGCGCGGCGGGGCTGCTGTTGCTCGCGGCGCAGAGGTGCGCCGCGAGCACGTGCAGCGTGGGGCGGTCCGCGAGGGCGGCCTCCAGCGCGGGCAGGGGGTCGGCGTCGGCGAGGCGGGCCAGGAAGGCGGCGGGGAGGCCGGCGGGGAGGAGGGCGGAGAGCACGGCGTCGAGGCGGGGGTTGTACAGCCAGTGGTGGAGGATGGCGAAGGCGGGGACGGAGGGGAGCGGGAGCGGGGAGGAGCGGGAGGGCGACGGTGGCTGATTCGGATTCGGGGCTGGGTGCAGGCAGCGGCGCGAGCTTCGTGCAGTGCGCGGCGAGGAGGACGGCGTGGATCGGGTACACCGCCGCGAGCCCGTCCGTGCCGGGGCCCTTCCCCGCCTCGCTCACCGCCAACGCATGCGTCGGCAGTGCGAGCTCGACGCCGTCCACATCCACGGGCCGGATCGGAACAGTCACGCGCGCGGGGAGGCCGGCCAGCGGGAGCGCCTGCGGCAGGTCGGCGAGCAGCGCGATCCCCGCGCGCATCGTGGGGGCCTGCGCGCCCAGCGCGTGGCGGATGAACGCGTCCGGCACGTCCTCGGCCGCGAGCTCGGGCGCCGCGGCCGCCAGCGCAGCGCGCGAGATCACGTCGAACGCGGGGCGCGCGAGCGTCCGCGGGAGCTGCAGCGCGGGGGTCGTCGTCGTGGTGGCGGAGGAAGAGGAAGAAGGGCGGCGGAGGTGTGACATGGCGAATGACGGGGCGTGACGGTCGTTGATGGGCAGCGGGAGCGGGTGCGCGAGCATGTTTTCGTGCGGGGAGCGGTAAGGTGGGGGCGTCTGCACCCAGGCGATGCGTCTTTATATATCCGTCGCCGCGTCCCATTCCGGCGCCAAAGGCACTCCTAAAACGAAAAAAGGCCACAAGGCGATCACGCTGATGGCCCGCTCCCCCGGGACGGAGTTGCCTTATTGGGACAACGCGTGGCGTGTGCTGACTCGTCTTTTTTGCGCTGCTTTCACACCCACCGACGCCGCCCCGCCGCACAACACCCCCCGGCGCTTATGCTGGGCACACCCGCGCCCATTTTGAGTGGGACTCCCACCCCCTGCGCCACACAGCGATCGATGCATCGATACGGCGGCGTCTTTCGGCGGCACTGGACCCTTGCTGGACCCACACAACACCACGCCCCTGCCTGACTCGCCACGCATTGTATTCCTTGTATTCCTGGCAGGGCATTGTATTCCTTGTATTCCCACAGATCTGTCTATGTTTCTCCGTCTCCGTCAACGACCGCCCTTCTTCCGCCGCCTACGTCAACACCCATCCTTCCATTCCCCGTCCCAATCCGGCCTCGTCTCTGCGCGCGTCGTCATCCTTATCGCGCATTCAATCGGCGCCTCCGCCTCCGCCTCCGCCGCCGGCGTCACGGTCATCCTGACTCTGGAGTCAACAGCTCTGCTCCTTTGGGCGTGGCCGTGCGGATTAGGCGCCGGGCCGTCATGATCAGCCTACGTCCCTACGCCGCGGCCGCGTTAGCTTTGCCTAGCGGTGCAGAACCTGGATGCAGATTCGATCCCGCACGCTGCCAGTGACTTCGCGGGCGCCTGCCAGTGCGCAAGCCTCTTCCTTTTTCCTCCGCGGCCGCCTGGCAGTGACCACCCCCGTTTCCCGCAGGCGTCCCCTCGTGGCCGCCCCCGGGCCACACAACGCATAACGCACCCATTTCCGGATACCCCCCCATCGATACACTCAGGGCGGATGCCGGCTAATACTTGGTCGCGCCCCATCACGGCGTCTGCCACCCAGACTCCGACGCACTTCTGCCCATTGACTTGTAATTGGCCCCGTTGTAGGGCCGCCGCGTGCCGTTTTTTCGACGGACTGGGTTATTGGCAAGGCACCGGCTTTGCAGACCTGTAGTCTGTGGTCGCTTCCAGGGCTAACAACGCCTATGGCGATCTTCAAGCCCGGCATCGTCCTCCCAACTCCAAGGACCCAACCTCGAAATCTTTAATCACCTTGAAACCTTTCCCGACCCTTACAGTACCCTGACGCCGCACAGAAGCCCGGGCCCGGCACGCGATACGGTGTGTCTATCGATCGACGATATGCCATATGCAGACGATACACACATTACGGTCCGGGACGCGGACGCACATCACGGCGTCTGCCACCCGGATTTGCTCCACGGCTTATTGTCTGCGGGTTGTGGGCCCGCCGCGTGGTCGCGTGCGGATTGCCAGTTGACCGTTCACTAGGCACGGATTCAAGTTGAGTTGTGTGTTGGTTGTGTGCCTCCCGGTTCCCCGGGGCCGGGGCCGGCACGATATGCGTTGTGGACACGCAACGTGGCGTCGCCATCGGCGCCGTGCAGTCCGAGCCCGAGACTTAACCGTCCCGGAAGCGCGGCAAAGCTTTCTCGACGCGAGGTGCAAACCCGGACTCCCGGTCTAGGCCCGCCGGCAGCATCCGGGTCGCCTCCGACCTCGCCCGAGCCCTCCCATCATTCGTGATCCCACGCTCATCACAGCGCGCGACGCGGTCGAGGCCCGTTCTAGCCCCCCGGCCGCGCACCGTCCGCGTCTCTTCCTCTTCTCGAGCATCCGCGCCACCGCCGAGCCCCCTGCGTGCGTCACTCGCGCGCTCCACGCGCCACATGACCCGCGCTATATAAAGCTCCGCGCGGCTCCCAGGGTGCCAAGCATACCGCGTTTCTTCCCCGCACCACCACCACACCCACACTCCCCACTACACCCGCCAGCCGCCAGCCGCCAGCGAACATGGCTGACGTCGCCGCATTCATCGCAACGCACCCCCCCGCCAGTGAGCATCCCCCTCTGCGTAGCTCGGTGCAGTCCGCTGACGACAGCTAGTCAAGGTCGGTGGCCGCCGGCACTCGATCTCGGGCAAGCAGCACCGCCCGCACCACGCGCCGTGCGTCGTCCTCCTCTCTCCTCTCCCCTGCATGCTCACTGACTCCCCGCAGCCAAGCCCCCGCCATTCCCACTAACGACGCCGAGGCCGAGCCCGCGGACGACTACCCCCGCCCGTCCGCCCCCGGGCACTCTCCCACGGAGCAGCCCCACCCGCACTCCCCGTCGCACACGCACAACTACGACGCGCCCCCGCACCCCGACGCGCATAATATTAAGCCGGAGCACGCCCGCAAGCGCACGCGCAGCCACCCGGGCCACGGCGCCGGCCCCAACTACGCCGTCAAGGGCCTCGGCGCGGCGGCGGGCGGCCGCATCGCGCAGCCCGTCAAGGAGATGCGCGTCTGAGCGTACTTGATGCGCATCGCGACTCAGACGGATAATTGTACGAATATGCGTATGATTGAGCATGAATTGTGTAGGACCGGCGCCGTGGGGTATATACCGGAACGTCGGAATCGCGTAATCTTGATGTATTAATTTGATTGTACATGTACGTTGTCTCTTGCCCCTCCGAGTGTCCAGTGCCTAGTGCTCCACGTACTGTATTGTTGCTCATTCCATCCTGCGAGTGCTGCGGGTAGGCCAGGCGTATCCTCCGCCTCCGCCCCAGGCGGCAGCCGTTCGACACGGCGATATGCATCTGGTGTGCAGTTTGGTGTAGGAACAAAATTTTTGTATTTGCAAAGGTATGGGCCTTCATGGTGTGGACCAATATTAACTCATGGGTTGTTGCAAGCTTTCTCACTGGTGTGAGAAAGAACAAGAGATGCAAGAGCCCTTCAAACTTAGGGTGCAGGATTCAACCCGTGTTTCAAAGCCCGTTTTGAAACAGCTGTTTCAAAACCAGGTTTTTTGACGGTTGGGGAAAATCACCTGTTTCAATACAGGACAGCCGTGGGAAGATCTTCCGGCAGCACGGCACACACGTCACTCAATGTCAATCACGTCACCCCTTAAAATTTTCCTTCATTTCGCGACGCCATGCCATCGGCTTCGAAGACTTCGGGAGCCAATGGCATTCAACTTACCGGCTATCTCTACTACAACAATGAGATTGAGAACCTCAAGCATCTACTCAATCATCTTCCCAATACCATACCTGTTGGGACCGCACACAACTTCATCGACTACGTGCCAGACCCAGAAGTCGTAAACGACCTTGGTTCCGAGAAAAGTGCACTCAATCGCGACCTCGAGGTGTCCTTCGGCTTCCGCGCAAACAATACCGTCATCACCTTCAAGTCGCGTGGCCCTCACCTTGAAGCTGTTGCCACGGTCATTCGACAGAATATTAGCGGGAGTGGGGGGGATAATATCTTGCTGGTAAAGTGGGTGGACGATCTAACGTGTGCGGCGAAGGCAGCCTTCGCGAACGCGAATGTTCCGGTGCGTTATCAAGCTCTAACAACTTCTCTTTATCTGAGCGGCTATCCAACGTAGTTGCCGCGAAAAGGAGCTGGCACTGCACGCAAACGTGCTATGCAAGACGAGCTGGCGGAGAAGGAAGCAACGAAGCATCAGAAAACCGCAGAAAATCGGGAGAAAGCCCGTCGTGACGCGACTGCAGACCGGGTAAAAGCGGTGACCCAGCAGGGATCGGTGCGTGGCCCTCATGCTCGTCGTATTCACGCTGAGTTGTTTTAAGGTCCATTGGGACTTCAACGACCTTCGCGATATCGAGCTTCCCGAACGCAGCAAGAAAGGCGCCCCAACCAATTCGATACTCGACACATTCCTTATTCCCTGCGAGACCATATCTACTGGCAAGAGGCGCGACCGATGCGTCGGTACTGGCTGCAAAGAGAGCTGGTCATATCCTCGCAAGAGTGATCGTGTCTACGAGCATGCTGCCAACCACTGTCACGGTATCTCAGACGAGCTTCAAGCGGAGGCGAAACGAAACCTCAAACAAGGCGCCCTCTCGACAGTTATTGCAGCGGCCACTGGCACAGCGGCCGGGGGGGTGGGCAAGAAGAACTTCTTTGCGGCATTCGAGGAGGCTGGAAAGGCTGACAAGAAGAAGGCGGACCAGTTGCGCAGGCGGGAGAACAACCTCGCATGCCTGAACTGGGTCTGCGATGCCGGGTTATCACTTCGTTCCATTGATCGCCCATCTGCTCGCCTGTTCTTCACTCGACTCGCCCCAAATCACGGTATCTACAGTGCATCGACGATGGCTTCATATATCCAGCGTGAGGCAGCGCGAATAACGGCTGACAACATTGAGTCGTTACGAGTCGTCTCCAACTTGACTATCTCAACAGACGGCGGAACCATGGCAGGACAGCAGGTGTACAATATTCACATCACAAACCCCATCTCGCGTGAGTCGTACCTCATCCGGGGTGACGAGGCTTCTGGTGTGTCTCATACCGGTAAACACATCCGTGATGTTCTACTGAAGGTAAGAACCTGTCACGCTGTCTAATTCTTCGTTCTAACTTGCGTTCGCCAGGTTATGAGTCAAATTGGCGTCGAGAACTTTGCTGCAGTGGTATCCGACAATGCGGGTAATGTCCGTGTTGCCCGCGAGCTCATTCAGCAAGATCACCCTGCCATCCTTTCCCTTTTCGACCCGCCACACCACCTGTCAAATCTTATCAAGGATATCTGTCGTATCGAGCACTTCAAACCTGTGCGTCGTCTTAGTTTGTATAATATTTACTCAAATTGTGCAGGTCATTGAGCGCATGCGGTTACTTATTACCTTCTTCTCGCAGTCTACGTATGCAGCTACCCATCTGTCTGCGCTGCGTGTCGTGCTTTACATCAACAAAGGCCTCGAAAAAATCGGGAAAACACGCTTTGGCACGATGTATTACACAGCATATTCGCTCATTCGTTGTTTCGAGGCCATCCGCATGCTGTTCCATCTTGATATCATCCACACGACCGGCTCTGAGGTAAGTTTTTGCCGTCTATGCTCGGTATTTAGCTGATTTCCGGACAGGAACTGTCGAAGTTGGCATGGATGCGCAGCTTGCCCGAGATATTAACTTTCGAAATGCATCTCAAGCAGCTGATCTCGGTGCTGGAGCCCATTGCGCGCGCCATCAAGTGTCTCGAGAGCTCTCACACCACTGTCGGTGATGTGTGGAAATTCTACGTCGCCATTACGGCGGTTTTGAAGACGGTCTTCGAAGAAAATGTAGTGGGAATCCCGGTCAGCGTTCAACAAGAGATTCGGGGAGCCGTCAATGCTCGCGTGGAGCAGATGCTCGGTTGTAACTCCGTCTACCTCACTGGCTTCTTCTTGGATCCCGGTTTGTCGCGACAAGGCCTGTATTGAAATACTGACCTCATCGGCAGATTTAGTCCAAAGCTCAATCCTCCGTTCCGGCGTAGCTAATCAGCTGGACAACTCCGCGTCATCAATTCCGCAAAACACTGGTAATTCTGATGTCCTTTCGGACAGTGACCTGCGTGCGGAAATACCGGCTTACGTGGAGTGCGGTCAATTCATGCTTGACCTTCTCTACGAGGAGATGAACAGTGGTCGTTACCACCCCGTTTTCGATCGCTATAACGACAGCACCGAAATTACTGATGCGTTCAAGTCCCAATGTGAACGCTTTACCAGGCAGCGGGCTCCTTTCAATGCACGCAATCCTGCATGGACTTGCTTGCTCGACTATTATACGGCACTTATGGCGGACCCAGATGCTGCCATCTTTGCGGTAATCATCTTTCTTGTACAATTGCGTGTCCAGTGATTGACTACACCAACAGTTTGTCGCATCTAAGATTGTCTCCATCCTCCCAACGTCGATGCCAGAGGAACGAACAATGTCTTTTATTACCAAGATCAACTCTAAAGATCGAAGCCGTCAAGATGCACAGACCACGATTGCGATGACCCAGGTTCATCAAGACCTTCGCCGTCGCCCCGAGTACGTCCCACGTCCAACAGCAAAAGCAGCGGCAAAAAAGACTGGGCCCATCATGAACTGGCGCTCAGTTGACAACCTTTTCACCGCCGAAAACCTTCCCGCGACCGCTCCCACATCCACCCCGGCTACGGCTCCTGCTCCAATCGTCATTTCCGATGAGAGCGACAATGATGCTGCAGTCCCGGAAGCTACTCCGATGGTTGGGTCGGGAAAAAATGAAGTAGGGCTGCAGCTCGTTGATGCAGACGATGTCGTTGTCGGCTTGAGTGCTGTCGTTCATGGGTAGCTGACCCAAGGGTACATGGGTAGTGATTGTCACACACCCACAGACTTGGCCGGGGTGGCCCGTACCCGCACCCACACTTGGCCTATACCCACAGGGATGGGTACGGGTACCCGCCGGTTAGGCGCAGGCCTTGGGTAGCCCACTGTCCCGCAGGCTTGTAGCCATTCTGGCGCTTCAATAAACCGCTCTATGGCCTCCCGCACATCAAAGATGTGTCGCTGGACACCGCAGATCGCCCAGCGACAGCCCGGCGTGGGCGTAGGTAGGCCAGCCAGCTCCGACACCTCAACACGAGGTGCCCCAATTATGACATGAACAGGCTTGTCTGTGGTAATACATGGAGGAAATAAGCTAGGTAGCTAGATATTGAATATAACCAATTAAATTAAATCCAAAATATGTGTGCTTGTGTTTGGGATTTGAGCTGCAGGAAATAACTAACTGATTCAGATGTGCCCCTGGTGGAACTTAAAAAGTTGAATGTTGTAATGAAAGAGAACTTTCAAAGATGAACAAAGAATAACAGGAGAGTTAAAGTTTGTTGAGGGTTTTTAGCAGAAGAGCACCAATACTCAACTACCAGGTAAGTAAATTGACTGTTACTGTAGCCAATCTACTATAGTTGTATCTTACTATACACAAATTCACTGAATGTGCCTTACCATGCACTGGGTTCACTATAGTTGTGTTTTACTATACACAAATTCACTGGTTGTACCTTACTATGCACAAGTTCACTATATCTGTGTCTTACTATACACAGGATTGCTAAAGGTTGGTAACCTCAGCAAAACCACTAATTGTGACACCACTGTCACAGTCTTCTGACATAAATCACTGTTCCGAGTCATACCCACAGCAAAACTAACTAGTGTGATAGTAGTAGCATCACAACTAATAGTTTCCTAGGGTGTTCACTATTCCTCTATCTACTATGTGTGAGCCCCTTATATACTACTCAGCCTTTGTTCTGGTTCAGACTTAGGCTGGAGTTCTGCGGCTGTGCTACTAGGGCGGTCCAGAACTGATATTCCAGGCCTTTCTAGGTCTCTAGACATTCCTAGACTAATATAATAATAGAATCAGTCTTCCAGAAAGTATGGAATGTTCTCAAGTATTTGGAGCATTAAAAATAAATTATTTAGCCCCTTTCATTTAGTTTTAGTTTTGAGATGTGCTCCATTTACAAGCTCATCAGTGGGCAGCTGAGGCAGCACCAGTGTCCCATTGTCCTCATAATATGCTGTGCAATCAGTGAACGCACACAGCTTCCCGGGAAGATACACTTCATGTCACAAACAACACCAATTCAGAGGATGCCAGTTTGAAAAGATATCGTAAAGATGATGGAATTCGAAGACTGGGGTACAAGACAAAATCTACTCTACTTATATACACTACTACCATGTGTTTACCATGCCTAATACGAGAGGCAATGACGTCATACTTTAGCCATGCCTTTACGTGCTGTTTGCCTCATGCCCAACTCCACGCTGTCAATCAACATCAGCATCGACATCTGATGATCCAATTACCATCTTATCTTCTCCTTGTCTTATCTTATCAACCAGGGCCAGAATAAAAGGTTCAAAGGGCAAAGAAAAAGGGTTTTTAAACCCAGGGTTTGACACTTCATTTCGATACTGGATGACATGTTCCCGCTCATGGCTGTCAGCGTATTGCCCTTTCTTGGTGTGAAAAGCTATCACATGTCAATTTGAAATTTTGTGTCAAAATGCTTGCGAAACAGTCAACATTGCGCAATTTAATTTTGCATATCTCAAGCACTCCCAGCTAGGCTGGTATACCGCCAGGTCATACCGTCCTCCCAGTGATTTGGCTCAAAAAATATCATTCAAAACCACACAATCATGCAAAGATACCCAGCCCCCGGTTGAACAGGGCACCCTATACCTGCTGGGACATCACAATTTTGAGTTTCCGTAATGGAGCAGGGCCACGTGCACACTGCACTGCTGGCTGTCTGTAGTTCCACAGCCCACATTTGCCATTCAATCTCCCTTATTGACTCTGTCTACTAGTATATAATGATCTGCGCCGCCTGAAGCTTTCCAAAGTGCTGATTCAGTTCAACATAAGGCAGGGCCTGAGTCAAGGAGGGTTTATCATTCAAATCACAGATATAGGGGTGGAAAGCTTTTTTCCGACCCTCACCCCTCTCCCCCCTCCTGCTCATCATGTGATCACTGATGCAATCAACAGTGGCATCAAAAATTCAATCTTTGTGAAAATTTGTTTTTTGAAAAAAATTATGTATGTGTATACAGGTATGTATGTGTATACAGGTATGTATGTACCTGCAACTAAGGCTTCTCACGAGTGTCACGGATAGATACCTGTACTCTACCTGCGGGTAATTTGGGCTTCAAAACCAATACCTGCATTTGCAACATCCGTGGGAAATGGGTACCTGTACTCACGGATACGGGTATCTGCACGGGTTATCCACGGGTATTTCCTATAAAACATTAAGATACTGAGGTATATGTATATTATAAGCAGCTTATATAGGATGTAGTATCAAGTAATGCACTGCTATAGACACTATAGCACATAAGAAGACTGTATTGACTGAAACATATATAAGATAATAAATACTATGATCTTCCAAAGTCATACCTGTACTCTTGGCATCTGTGGGAAACGGATACCTGTATCCGCGGATGTCGAACCTGCAGATGTTTTCCTGCAGGTACCTGTGCAAACATCCGCGGATATTGACACTCGTGCGGAGCTTTACCTGCAACCTTCGAACACACATGTCAGGCCATATCAAGTTGTTAGTATGTTCACCAGCCTTATGATGGTGTTGTGACTTGTCACATAATGGCCTAGCCAATCTCATAGGCCTGACAGTATATATATAGGCATAGGGGATTGAGAACTAGAGGAATTAGAGGGATATACCAGTTGTGAAAAAGAGGCACACAACTTGACTGGATCCATGCCCCGTGAGCGGTTAATCTGTACGCAACGCCACGCGGCGGGCCCACAACCCGCAAGACAATAAGCCGCAGAGCGAATCTGGGTGACAGACGCGGTGATACGACGCCAATCCGGCCCACTGGCATACTTACCGCGCAATGCGCATACTATCGGTATCGGCATCGGCTTCTGTGTGGCGTAGCTGCCACGAGGCCGGGGCCGGGGACACAGAAAGGTCCACTGTCCAGGGTCGGTTGACTTGAGGAGGACGGAGGGGCAGGGGAAAGCTTAAGCTTCCCGCGGATCCGAGTCGCGAAGACACAAGCCACCTCATTAGACACAAGCCACCTCAGTCACAGTACGGTCGGTACCTCTATCGCTCTGATAGACGCCCCAAGGATACCGCAAAGTCCTGTCTCTCGCCCTCTTTGCCCTTTATTGCGTCACAACCTGTGGGAGACTTTGGGGAGGGGCACGCGGCGGCCCCACAACGAGGACACAATAACTTACCAGTACGTGCCGCGCGGCGTAGCCCTGAGTGGCAGACGCCGTGATGGGCTGCCAATGTCCGCGCGGATATTAATATGCGCGGCCCTGACCAGTGACGGCCCACGGGATACCATATCGATGGGCCCGGGGGTGCGTTGTGTGGCGTGCCGCGTGCCGCGTGCCGCGCAAGGTGCCGCGCCTGGGCCCTGGGTCGAAGCGAGAGGGTCGCCACGAGGGGCGCGAGATAGGGTGGTGTGTCGAGCAGGGAAAGAGCTTGGCTGGATCGAGGCAAGAACTTGGAGTATGCACAGACGCCCGCGAAGCGCCGAAGCGCGCCAGCGTCTTTGCCAGCGCCACGGTGCACGGTGCGGGATCGAATCTGCACCGCAAATAGGATCCACGGGCGGAGAGAGGCTAAGGGCGGTTAGCCTTTCTCTCGCCGCGACCCAGGAGCTGATCATGACGGCCGCGCGCCTAATCGCCCAAAGGAGCAGAGCTGTTGCTTCTTGAGAGTCAGGATGACGCCGCCATTGACGCGGCCCGGGGGGCGCGAGAGCTTCCGCCGATTGAATGCAGAGCGATAAGGATAACGACGCGCACAGCACGCTAATCCTAGAGACGAGGACGGATTGGGCGGGGGAATGGAAGGCGGGGCGGCGGAAGAAGGGCGGTTGTTGACGGAGAAACATAGACAGGAAGGAATACAATGCCTGAAATACAATGACAGAAGACGATGAATACAATGCGAGTCAGGCAGGGCCGACCTCGTGGTGTTGTGTGGGTCCAGTGCCGCCGAACGACGCGGCCGTATCGATGCAATCGTTGCGTACAAGGGCGCCTCCCCGGGGCTGGCGATGAGCGCAGATGTGCCCCGCAACAGGCGCCGGGGGTCATTATGCGGCGGGGCGGCGTCGGTGGGTGGAGTCACGGAAGGAGACAGCGCAAAAAAGACGAGTCACGCCACGCGTTGTCCGGATAAGGCAACTCCGCCCCGGGCGAGCGGGCCATCAGCCTGATCGCCTTGTGTCCTTTTTTTCGTTTTGGGAGTGCCTTTGGCGCCGGAATAGGAAGCGGCGACGGATATATAAAGACACCTCGCCTGGGTGCAGACGCCCCCACCTTACCGCTCCCCGCACGAAAACATGCTCGCGCACCCACTCCCGCTCCCGCTCGTCACCGACCGTCACGCCACGTCATTCACGATGTCACACCTCCGCCCTTCTTCCTCTTCCTCCGCCACCACGACGACGACCCCCGCGCTGCAGCTCCCGCGGACGCTCGCGCGCCCCGCGTTCGACGTGATCTCGCGCGCTGCGCTGGCGGCCGCGGCGCCCGAGCTCTGGGCTGAGGACGTGCCGGACGCGTTCATCCGCCACGCGCTGGGCGCGCAGGCCCCCACGATGCGCGCGGGGATCGCGCTGCTGGCCGGCCTGCCGCAGGCGCTCCCGCTGGCCGGCCTCCCCGCGCGCGTCACCGTGCCGATCCGGCCCGTGGATGTGGACGGTGTGGAGGTGGCGCTGCCCACGCATACGTTGGCGGTGAGCGAGGCGGGGAAGGGCTCAGATGGGAGCGCGAGTGTCTTCCCTATTCACTCCGTCCTCCTGGCTGCACATTGCACGAAGCTCGCGCCGCTGCCCGCCCCTAGCCCAGACTCCGAATCAGACACCGTCGCCCTCCCGCTCCTCCCACTCCCGCTCCCCTCCGTCCCCGCCTTCGCCATCGTGCACCACTGGCTGTACAACCCCCGCCTCGACGCCGTGCTCGCCGCCCTCCTCCCCGGCCTCCCCGCCGCGTTCCTGACCCGCCTCGCCGACGCTGACCCCCTTCCTGCCCTAGAAGCCGCGCTCGCGGACCGCCCCACGCTGCACGTGCTCGCGGCGCACCTCTGCGCGGCGAGCAACAGCAGCCCCGCCGCGCTGCTGCGCCGCGCCGCGCACGTGCGCGCGCTCTGGCAGACGCTCGTCGCGCTGGGGATCTGTGATGCGGGGCTCTGGGCCGCGCTCGACGTCGCGTGGGAGGTCATGCTGGGCGCGCTGAATATTGCGCTCGTGCAGTGAGCAGGGCTTTGCTGTTGAATATATTAATGCCTGGTATACCCCCGAGAGTCCGTATCCCCCATCGTGTAGCATATGCCTTGCCCCGTACTTACTGTATTGCTGCTGTCATTGTCGTTTCGTGAATCGTTATCTGGCCGCCGGTGCCGATTTGGCCAAGGCAATAACTTGAAGCCCCCACTGGCACACACTTGTCCAGACTTCAGAGCTGTGGGACGTGCGTTCGACGCGGCACGGTGCCGCTGGACCAGGCTGGGCGGCGGACGCGAGTTGGCGTCACCAATTTTTTCTGGGGGATTCTGGTAGTCTGGTGGTAACCACGTCCCAACAACCGGGATCCTGCGTTATTATATAATCACCCGTTTTGGAAATGCACGTGCCTCTCGATATGCTGGGCCCCACGCGACGTGGATAAAATGGACGTGTCAATCAAGTTAGAGCTGTTGAAATTTTACTCTACAGGCCTACTCCCCAGTTTTACATCTCTCAAAATTGCAGAAATAGTAAGAATTGGACTTGAGAGGACTAGTCACGTGCCTATCGACACGATCATGACTAACTTGATGATGGATGCTAAATATGGCCAGACACCTCTGGAAGGCTTTTGCAGCAAGTATTTGGTATAAAGCTCGGGAATATACATCCTCTAGCCACTAATTGTAGGCTCAAGCCACCTCTAATGCACTCAAACGCGTTGCAAAACACGTTGATAACTGAGTGATTGACAGATCAGCTGACTGATATTATCTAATAACGCTTGACAGCCTCACATCAGCGTGGTAACCAACAGACCCTATTTTCTCGTAGGGAGTTTACGACCGCCACGATATTGGGTCTGTAAAAGAGACAAGGATTCTGGATGATCTGTACCTGGACCCTGCAGATCTCCCACTGGCAGATTCCCAGAGGCCAGGTCCGAATTTAGACCACTTCCAGATACTCACACTGCACAGCACTTTTCCAGCCCGCTCTCCAGGGTCCCCTAGACATTCACAGATACTGTCCTATTTCAATCAAGTGTCCGGCACTTTTTCGAAATTTGGGACCAAATATTTTTCTTTTGATTTATGGTGATTTTTGACCAGGACTTTTTTGGTCAATGTAGCGCGTAACGCGGACACTTGTTTGAAATAGGACAGTAGTCATAGACAACTTGAATGGCAATTCATTCCACTATTGGGGACAGATCTCCCAGATTGTCTAGATGCCCCAGGTTGCCCAGAAAAATTGGGTTTTCTTTTATATATGAAAGATTTGAGCCTTATATGGGTGTAAAGACACTGAAAAGAGAGTGTGAACACTCTAATTTCTGTAGTTCACAACCCTCATATTTATATCTATATACTTTCAGGACCATGAGCTTGGACAGCCCACTCTGTCATAGGCCCATTGTCTGGCAATTGATGAGGGGTGAACATGTTGAAGAGTTGATATAGCTTGCCATGTGTGTTGGAATGTTCCAGGTACATACATACCTACACATACACACATAGACATATATAAAAAAATTTGCAAAAAAAGGTTTCACAAAGGTTGAATTTTTTATCCCAATTTTTGATTACATCAGTGGTAACATGATGTTGATTGTGAGAATATATTACTATATATGGCAGGAGGGGGGGCCCCAGAGGGACGGAAAAAAACTTTCCGACCCTATATCCATGTTGTGAATCTTGAACCCCCCTTGTGAAATTCATCCGGAACTGCTGTCTCGCTTAGTGTACGCCGTGACACCCGAGATGAATTGATGTGCATGATTCATAACTGCTCTTGACCTTGTCCGCCATGATGCCACCGTTGTCGCTGAAGCCACAAGCCGAACAGTGCCCAGCACCCGCTCGCTGGCCCAAGAGCAAAGTACTATCGAGCGCCCAAGGGGCCACCGTCGCTTCCCACTTGATTCTGTGCGTTCTAGCGAGCAATTTATACACTGATATTTACACTGCATTTCTTGGTGGATTTGGCTCCAATAAAGCAGAACAATACATAATTCTTCCTGCTATCAGCATAAACTGAAAAAAACTTTACACGTGGGGGACAAAATCCTCTCTGGGCATCGACTCCGGCATCTCTGACAGGGCAGCTGTGTCCATGTAGCGGGTGATCAACTCCGCTAACATCTCGTCACTGAGTTGTTGGATCACCTTGTCGAGGATGTCCATTGAGCGAACATCGGCAGGGGGGGGGGCAATCCCAGGCAAGATGGTTTGGGTTGCCGCACCTGAAGAAGGCGCGACGAGGGGCACCCCGAGATAATTATGTATTATTCTGTTTAGTTTCAGCCAAATTCATCGAGAAATTGTGATGTAAATATCAGTCTATCAATGATATTGCACAGATAAATTTTATCCTAATTTATTACCAAAGGTAAGGTGGATAATCAGGCATTATGCTATTTATTTGTTGCCCAATCTGAGTGCTACTAGTATAGTGAAGAGTAGCCTGAGGTAGAATCAGGGAGGTCCCGGATTCTTCATTTTAAATTGGCAAAGAATGACATATTGCAATTAATATTGGGCATCAAATCTTCAACATTGCTGAGTTGTCGCCGAATCCCGACTCACAGCACGCCAAAGAATAGATAAAAAATGCAAAAGAAATCCTTCCAGATAGGCTCAGATGGTCTATGGCGATGTAGAGAGGCCTGACAAGCCTTTGGCTTGTTGTTGCTTGTTTGGTCTTGTTTGTCCATATTTGGTAGTTGTTCCTGATCTCTCCCTTTATGTGTTCCTTAGTTTCTATATGTTTCCTTCTAGTTCCTGTTCCTGTTCCTTCTCCTAGCTCCTATTTAGTAGGGTATATAAGCCTGTCTTTAGTTTAGTTTCCATATCATATCATATAGTTTCCCCCACAGCAGAGTTTCCTAAAGTCTTCCTCTTCTTCTCCCTCTCTGGTTGTGCTGTAGCCTTTGGTTGCAGTTAGAGCAGTTTGAAGGGCTCTTGCTTTTCTTGTTCTTTCTCACACCAGTGAGAAAGCTTGTCAGGCCTCACTTTTTTTGAGCTCATAGTTCACTTCCTTCTCTGTCCTTTTCCCCTTGTTCGGCAACGGATTTATTTTTGAAACTTATTGGTAGAAGGTTGAAGTAGATTCTCGGCTAAGCTCTGGCTGGAGACTCCAAAGAGGTGTTCATGTAAGCCCTCAAAACCACTCAACTGTACAATGTCCGCTGCGACTAACAGAAAAACGCCTCCACATGCTTGACCGTCTTCTCCACCGGGTCCAACCACGCATTCGCCGCGCTAGCGGCATTACCCAACGCGCGCAGCCCACCGCGGCGAAGGTGCGTCATGCCCTTCGCGTTCCGGTCGTCCGTCATCAACAGCTGCGTCACGGCCGCGACGCTCACGTGCATGTGCATCGCGAGTTCAGTATGCACGCCGCGCGGGAGGAGCCATAACTGCAGGTCCCGATCTAGGCACTTCCAGCGCCATTGGCTGTGTAGGATAACCGACGCGAGGGTCGGGCAGCTGGCGCCCCAGCGGCGCACGCGGTGCAGCTCGCCGAATATGCACGGGGAGAATTTGGACAGCGGCGTGAAATCGGCGTGTTTTGAGGGTTTATCAAGTACGCGCATGTGCAAAGCGCGCAGCTGGGCGAACGCGGGGAGCGAGATTTCTACGGAGTCAAGGAATTGCTATGGATTAAGTGTCAGATGGCGATGCTTTACGGGGAGGAAGGCTGTTTACCGCGTATTCAGGCGCGCACGAGGACAACTCACTGCAGAATATCTGGATAAACTCCAGGTCTGGTGCGCAGCGCCCGAGCTCCGGCATCAGATGCGTGTCCCACGCGTTAATAACGGCCGAGAACGATATCAGCTGGGCGAAACTGTGCGGGGGTACCCGCCGGAAGAACGGGCCTGCTTCGTCGCATATGCACATCAGGACAAGGTGTCGAACCCGCGCGTCGCGGAGCCAGAATTCCGCCAAGATCGGCGGCCCGACGAAGGTGTCGACAATGGGAAGACGCAGTGCCTGCATTTCAGTGTCGCAGAGGCCGAGGCTGAGCACGAGGAGGCTGGCGGTGAGGACGCGCACGTGCCGCAGACCGTTGGCGTGGCGCGTGAGGAAGGCGGTTGTGTCGCGACCGATATACGGCAGCGCACACGTCTGAAGGGCGGGGAAGGCGAGGTTGCCTTGTGATATTACCGACGTAAACGTCTCGCAGGCCGGACACCAGAGGACCTCGAGCCGGGCGCAGTTCCCGAGGGCCCGCAACACAAGGCGGCGGAAGCCGCTTAGTGGGTGGACGCCTTCCGGGGCACATTCCTCACTGTGGATTCCGGGTCAATGAACACAGCGGGGAGCATCGAAGTACGTACACAGTCAATTCTTTCACATAGACCGCATATTCTCTGGACCCAGCAAGAGTTTGGAGACACCGTATCGTCCGCGCGGCCTTCCGGGTGTCCACAACAACCGTCTGGTAGAGCAACCTCCGGGCAACGGCATGCAGGGGCCGACTCGTGCGGCAGAGGGCGTAGAGGTCCGCAACCGGCAGCTGGCGCGATACGAGGTCGAGCATTTCGAGGGGCAGCGCGTCCATGGTCGTCGGAAGGCAAGGCACACACAGCGTCGCCACCCGAAAAAGATTTATACCATGTTCTCACGTGCACCGTGCCCTGGCCTGTGCATCCGTTTCTCGCCGATCCCGAGATCGCTTGGCACGAGGCTCGTATGCAGATTTGCTATAGATAGCCGGGTGCGTTCGCTGATGGGACCTGTCGCGTCATAATGTGCGTTACGCGCAAGTCGGACGTGTCCGGAGTCGATGACATGCTCGGAGCAAGTAGACTTGCTGACGCTGATTTGACAGAGGAAGCAAAGGCGCAAGCCTATCGCGAGCAGCGAGCGACCGCGTTTCTGACCCTCTACGGTACCGGCCTACACAAGTTGCAGCCGCCGTCGCCAAGCATCCAAGACCTGTGGCGTTGACATTTTGATACGAGCTGCCCCGGACTCGCCCGCCACTTTTTAGCAGAGACCGCACAGTACGCGCAGCCC